GTCTTACAGGCATACAATCAAGGAATTGGCCCCAGGTATCACCAAACTGGCCACTGACTTTGTTGCATATAGTATTGTTACCTAATAAAAGCAAGATTCTTAAGATCTCTTTCAAGAGAATGTATTTTCACAGTTACAAACGTTCAACTAAAACTTTGGTTAAGGCACAAAGTATGAAAGACAATTTCTTAAAGGACTGGCTGTGTAATGGAGACTCATGCAACTAATTCTGTTTTGTCATCTTATTTTGATGGTTGAAAAAATGACTCATAAATGTTTCAATATAGAAAAATAAACAAAGAAAAAACTTATTAAATATTGATAAAATATAAATAGGTTGAAGGGTATTATGTTTTTTTTTTTTATTTTTATTGTTAACCTTTATTATTAGTTTTTCACAAGTATTTACTTCATTTGGTTGTTTTTTTATTGTAATTTTACTCATGCTCTCAATTCTATAGCAATGGGTAAACAGTTTCAATCAAAATCTTATCCTTGATTTCTGATCCATGGCTGTCTTCTTATTGCCATGTAGAATTTATGGTATAGATAAAAAAAAAAAGCAAGTAATTATTAAGATAAAAGTAAATATTTGTGAAAAAATATTAATAATAATAACTAACTCTGCATCAAACTGATGGCTGCACAGAAAGTTTCTCCTCTTGTACTATTTGCCTGTGGCACTTTTATAGCTTCTTGCTTTCCTGTCAACTACAATCTTCAAAAATCTAAATGCAACATCAATCAACACCTTCCCTCTCCTTGAATCCTGTTCATTTTATTGTCTTTTCTCCTCAGTAACAGTTTCTCAATTTCTTTCACTCTCAGTACCCCTTGCATTATACAGGCTTTATCACTTTGCTTGGGATGAAATGATAAAAAACCCCATAAATCTTTTGAAATAAGTTTGATATTAAAGTTTGTCAATACAAGGTACAAGAGCCACTTAATATAGAGAGTGTTAAAATGGTTATGATGAATGAGTTGAGTGATATGAATGAAAGAGGTGGTGGTAGCAAGTGAATTTTATGACGATAAAGAGGATAGATAACCAGTTAACCTTTGATTTGAAAAGGTTAAGATTGTAGTGTAGAGAGTTACTTCTTAAATGCTTATAATGAATGTGTGGAGTGATATGAATGAAAGAGGAATTGTAGGAAATGACAAAAAGTGGATAGATAAAAATTGACCCATGACTTTAAAAAGTTAGGATGGTAATGTTCAGAGAAGTATCCACACTAGGGTTTGTCACACAAAATAACAGTCCCTGGAGAAAAACTAAGGGAAACTGTTTTCCTCACATTTGAAATACAGGAAATGAAGGTGATTCAACTTCATGGGTGTCATATGGTGTACCCTAGCTGTAAAGGTCTGAACTGCTGAAACTAAAGATTGTTTATTTGTTTTACCAACACATCAACCCCTGTGGGTCATTTCATGCTGAAACTGGATTTTTATTCAGGAATGTTTGAAAATATTTCAAGTGGTTGTGAGGTTTTAAAATAGTTTTCAAAATATCACAAGTTGTATAGTTCAAAATCCAAACTATTTTCTATAGAAGTTGAAAGTATTTTCATTTTTTCAGGTATCCTATTATTTGGGCAGGAGGCACATTTTTGAAGAGCATGTTGATTTTGAGCTTGGTGATAGTTGCTATATATTTATTTATGCTTCTTACATTCTATCAAGATATGTTTGACTGTGAGATATTGATTGGAGGGGATACACCAAGTCGTAGTGTGTGCTTTGAGCATATGTGTGTCCAATTCTTATTCTTTTGAGCAGTGAGTCATGTCTGCAGTCAGCTAATGGTTCTATATTCTCCTTTCTAATTGTCAGCTGATGTTCATATAGTTTATGGTTTAGCAACATATCCCAAATTGCTTGCCATTTTCTTTTGATGAGTTGTGTAATTTTGTTTCTATAATCTGTATATGGAAGTTTGATGTTGATTATTTTCATTTTCATTGTGTCTTTTGCCCAAGTGTCAGCTTCATGATTTCCTTTGATGCCCATATGGCTAGGAATCCAAGCCAATGTTACTGTTTTGTGCTTTATTAAATGATGACAAGCTTCTAGGATTTCTTGAATATAGGGATAATTTATGTTCTTTTCTTTAATTGCTGTTAAAGTAGATAGGGAGTTAGAGAATATTATAAATTTCCTATCTTTTGAATTTTCTTATCATTTTAAGTGCCATTTTTATGGCTTGTAGTTCAGCTGCATAGATGGATGCATTATTTGGTAGCCTGATTTGTTTGTGAATTTGTCTGTGGCTGCTGCACCTATTCTAGCTTGGATCCATGTAGAATGGTTTATAGTCACAATATTTGTCTTTTACTTCTTCATATATGGTTTTGTTGATTGTATCTTTTTTTTTTATGTGTCAATGTTAGGTCTATGTGTGGGTGAAACTAAAGAATGAACATTTGCTTTACAAAATAGCAATTTGGTTCAACTTGTATAAATGAAAAAAATTAAAAGGAATCTGCATATAACTGTTCCTGCAACACAATTCTTTTAGAATTTCTTGTTTGAAACAACAGTAAAGACAACATTTTTTTAATATATTTTATACTAATTATTCTAATGTGTATTCAATGAAATCCGAGATGACAATATGAGATTTACAAATGGGAAATGGCTTCTGAAACTGGGCTGATTGATCTCAGGATTAAAATGATTACTGTCCTGATATCTTGAGGGCTTTATATAATCTCTAGATCAATGTTCCTCAATCAATGTTCCCCAGAACATTAGGGTTCTAAAAGACATTGCTAGGGGTTCTGCAAGAAATAGACTAATACATCTTTGAGTAATTTTATATTCATAATTTTATGAAACACTATTTGAACATTTGTCCTTGTCTTGGTTGCCATATTCACAATGTTTTGGCCATTGTATGCTCCGACCTTCTTCAGGTGATTGAAATTTTGAACTGAACTCTTTATTTCATCCTCTGAGATAGATTGTTCTAGTTCTACCTCTTCTGGATATCATAGTTTCAGTTATTTCTCTTTAGTAACTCTCCATGTTTTTGTTCACCTCTGCTGTGATGAGGTATTGAACTCACAAGTCACTGGATTACTTCAACCAACACTTTTATCCACTGGGCCATGTGTCCTTGGGCATGAGGAACTAGAACAATCTACTCAGACGGATGAAATAAAGGGTTTGGTTCAAAATTCCAATCACTTGAAGAAGGCCAGAGCATGCAACATGAATATGGCAATGAAGATGAGGATAACAGTCTGAATAATGTAAGTAATCATAATACCTCATCTCAGAGATATAGACAAATATTGAAGAAATTGTACAAAAAGTTTTTATCATTGTACTTCATAGCCCTCCTCGCTATCCCAAATTTCACCCAATGAATAGCATATTTCAGCATGAAAACAGGACTACTTGTGACAAATTCATCACAAACCAGGATGGAGCACAAATTTTAAAATAGATACATGTAAATTTATTTGGATAAAGAAATATGGTTATGTTTGATTTATGTATTGGTTAAAATGTATGATAATGCTTACCATAGTGCTGAATGCATTTAACCAGTCTTGTAGCTTGAAATCCTCATTACTGCTAATATTGACAAGATTATAACAAGCACTAAGTTTCCATTATAAAATTTACCAAAAGTAATGCTCTCACAAAATTAGTTAACTTATAACTCCCATCATCACCAACCTTCAATTTATAGGATACAGAGTGGTTTTTGAAGATATAGAAAAAAAAAGTGTCTTATAATCAGTAAAATATGGTAACATGTTTTACCAAAATTTAATGTAAATAAATTGTGATGATTTGCTAAAAAAATTGAAAATTTAATAAATTCAAACAGGAAATTTGAATTACCACATTGAATTAAAGTTTTTTTCCTTTGAAATGCTTCATTATTCTGAATAAAGTAATTATTTTTTAATAGTAAATCATCATTGTTTTTTCTAGCTACCTCAGTCAATCATAAGATTTGTGGATACAAAAAACTGCTTATTGTTTGGGTATCAACTTACAGGATTGTATCTGAATTTATTAATAAAAAAACGAGTTTCAAACAAATGTTATTATTTATGTAGATATATCATCTGGCTTGTGATAAGGTTCCCTAATCTATTTCCTCCTACCTTCAAAGTAGCATAAGTCAAACAATCCAACAACACGTGTCTCCTCCTGTTCACTATATTTTTCTTCTTTTTTTTTTTATAAGAGATTGAGTGACAGTTCATATTTGCATAGGTGAGTCTTGTGAAAGTAGCCAACTCCGAGAGCTATCTTATCTTTTTAAATATATGACGTGTAAAGTCGCCATTTTCTTTTGGAGAATATTTTACATGCGAGACATGTCCGAATCTGTTTTCATACAGGAGGCAAGCCATTTTCTCTAGTGTTACAGTTACTGTCTGAATTTCCTGGATGAGGAGTTACCATTTTTTGCATTCAGAATAATTTATTGTTATTATCACATTTCAGCTGTTGAACTCTCTAACCATCTTCAGATGGCTGTCAAATCCAGATAACTTTCATGGAAGATTTGAACTCTTTATTTAATCTACAAAGGTAGATTTTTCTTGTCCTAGGGATATCTTGTCTAGTTCTTATTTGGTACTGTTCAGTTATTTCTCAGCTTGTTTCCACAGAGTTTAAGTCTGTACTACCCAGCCCAGGGATTGAACTCATAATTACTATGTTAATAACTTTACAAACCAATGTTTTAAACTCATTAGAGACAATGGCCAAGCTCAAAGGGTTCAGTTCAAAATTTGCTGATGGTTACTCACATCAACAGACACCTGAAGAAGACCAGAGGCTACAAGAGCTAAAATGGTGTGATAATAACAGCAAAGATTAGGACATTGGTTTGAATGTAACTAATGTAAAATGAAAAGTGTTAATTTGAATAAAATTTCTTGAAGCATATAAAAATCTGGAATGAGAATGTGACATCATATTTTAGCAAGACAAAAATGTTCAATTAAGAAAAACTTTGTCTGTACCAGTTGTTGTGTAGATGCTTGGGAAGGAAGACCAATGGATGTTGTCAGCTTATCCCTGTGAATTGAAAAGGATGCCTCAGCTGATGGAAGTACCTGAACTCTGAAGATAGAAAGCAATAACAATGAGACAAATTTAATGTGTAAATGAATTATTTATGTATAATACGATTTTGATAATTTTGTAATTCATTATAAATTTTAAAATTTTTAGATTTCTTTTCAAATTTATTTGGGCTTATAGCCATATCACATTGAAACACTGGTTCTCATATGATCACCAAAGTTAAGCAACATTGACCCTGGTCAGTACTTAGATGGGTGCCTGCTTGGGAATATCAGGTGTAGTAAACTTGTATGAGCAGGTGGTATAATGGATAATGGTTTGGAATTAAGCAAATTCTAATTCCAGTCAGGTTCATTATATTCACTTATATGCAAATACCATTGGGAAAAGTATGAATCCATCTCTTCTTCCCAAACTATGGATTAATTTGTAGAACCAGTATGAGTAAATCATTATCTCTAAAAATTATTAAAATCTAAAAATATTTCCTGGCTTCAAATAATCTGTAAAAGGATTGATAGGCTGTAAAAAACAAATCAATCAATCAAATTTATTTCTTTATAAAATGGTAAATAATAACTATCACTTGGTTCACATATTTTTATAATCTTGTAAATAAACATTGTCAAGGGGGCTAAAAGTTCATACAGTAATAGTGGCGTCAAGGGAATAACCTTTTGTTTGCAGGCGCAAAGGTTAAACATTGCTAACTTTTTTTCTGGCCATGTGCATCATCAAATTCAAAAAGGTATAATCAAAAGTAAGTTATATTTATGCTCCAAATTATTATGTAACAAAGAGTTTAAATTTCTAACCAAACACTGAATTTGTTTTTTTTTAAAAAAAAAACCAAAAACAAATGAAACTGATTATTAGAATCATGTGAAGGAAACTATCTGATATTTCTTTTTCCCCTACCACTGAGCACCATTTTAATTTAACAGGGCTACTCAAGCAATTGATGAAGGCAGTAAAGACAAAGATTATCACAAATTATCAAGTCATTCATCAATTTGTTCATGATTACTGATTCTTGGGACATCATCCACCTGTTGACTGTCACAATATCTTGTGTGCTGATAGCTGTGACAGTAAAGAGGGGACAAGATCAAAAAGGAAGCAATGTAATCAATAAAAATTTCAAAGAATTTCAGACAGTTGAAATTGGAAGAATGATTTGGTAAAACTGACAATGATGAGATTATCAACACTAGTGACTAGTGGGAGGAAAGTATAGATATTGTAGATCAGGGTCTGTGAAAGATTTTTGTCCAGCCCACCAACTTAACACCTGGAAACTAAATATCTAATTAATTTCTGGGGCAAGTGGCAGAAAAATATCAGTTGGAGTTAATTGACTTACAATGATCTTTAATTCTTTAAATTGAAATTTCATTCCAAATCCACTGCTGACAAGAAATATGTTTTGCCAAGTAGAAAATATAAAAGCCTATTGAATAATATGAAAATGATGTTATCATTAGTTGGAAGTATATATGCTTTTCCTGAAAATGAAATATACTAAGAAACATTTAAGAACAAGGTTGGTTGATGAACATCTGGATGTTGTTTTGCTCTCGTCATCAACAAATATTTCACCTGATGTGGAGAAGTTACTGAACAATAAGCAGAAACAAATGTATCATTAAATAATTTGTCATTTCTGTATTTCATTTGTAGTTAGGAATTTGCAGTTTTTTTTTTGTTGATTGTGTTAATTGTTATCCTGTTATTCCTGCAGTAAAACAAGAGACCTTGTTTACATAATATAACAGTAATGTCATTGTTTTCCTTAAACCTTCAGATCAAGGCACCCTCTGGATGGAGCAGTCTTCAACAAAGTACACCACAAGGATCTGATGGAACCGCTCAGCAAGCTTGATATATTTGGGAAAGATATCAGAATAATCAAGAACCTATACTGGCAGAAAACAGCATGCATGCGTATAGAGAACGAGTTCAGCAAATATACAAAAATAGAAAGGGGTGTAAGGCAAGGATGCATCTTCTCACCCATCCTGTTCAACCGACACAGTGCAGCAATCCTGAGAGGATTGGGAACCCTACTGAGATTTAGCATTGGTGGCCACAATCTTACCAACATAAGATATGCAGATGACACAGTACTGATAGCAGACATGGAAATGAAATTACAAAATCTCTTACAGAAGGTAGCAACGGAGAGTGAGAAGAAGGGACTAAGCATAAACTGCAAGAAGACACAGTGCATGGTAAGAAGATGAGCCTGAAATGCTCATGAAGATCGGGAACACTAAATTCAAGCAGAGATGGAAGTTTAAATACCTGGGAAGCATCTTGACAGAGGACTGTAGGTGCAACAGTGAGATCCGTAGGCATATGGGATGGCCAAAGACACATTCCAAAAGCTGGGCAGATTACTGCGAGACAGGAGAATATCTTTGCTAACAAAGAATACTGAACTGTTATGTGACATCTGTCCTTCTTTACAGCAGCAAATCCTCAGAGATGAAGAAGAGACTCAAGGAGACAGAGATGTGGTTCTACAGAAGGATGCTAAGGATATCATGGACCAAGTGTGTGAGCAACGATGAGATCTTAGAGCAGTTGCAAACAAGGAAGAGGCTTATACTTATGTGGCGGACATGAGACAGAACCTGGGACGAACACAACTGGTCGCGACTTGCCTTGTCCCCGCCAAAAAAGAGCCTGTATTTGCTTAGCAAATGAGGGAGAAAAAAGCACTTACTGCTCTGCCGTAATCCGTCCTCACCCAGATAATGTAAAAGAATGAGGGGGTACTTGCATTGCATTTTTATGCAATAAAGATGCAATGCATTATGGGACATGGACGCAATGAATTATGGGATCACATGAAGACACAAGGGATTATGGGTATATGGACAAATATAAAAGCAACTACTTTTTTCCCAGTGGGGCAGTTCTTCTAGTGACGTTCACGGTTGGCGGCAAGAACAGTCTGTTAGTGTGATTTTGAGACAGAACTCAAGAAGGAACGACTCAAGGTTGAAATACCAGTTGGGAGAGCTTGAATTTACTTGCTGGTTGCTGTTTTCTTTATTCGCCTCAACTTAATATCAGGAAGAGGCAGCTGAAGTTTCTGGGACACATAATAAGGAAGAAGGGCCTGGAGAATCTGATACTCACGGTTCTAATAGAGGGAAAGAGAGACAAGGGAAAACTGTGTGTCATACCTGGCGGACTTAAGCAAGTGAATGACAGAAGGTGGTCTGGGGGAGGAAGCAAAGGGAAGGAACTTGTTGAGAGCTGCAAGTCATAGAAGGAGGTGGAGAGCCATGATCACCTATGTTCTGAAAGGACATGGCACATAAATAGAAAGGAAAAAAAAATTGATTTCATGACCCTCCGCCTGCTGAGCCCTGTTATAGCTGATAGGGTAACAGACAAATACCAACAAAGTCATCATGAATGAAGCTATTGGCAGTTTGCAACTTTTCCTAAAGTGGTATGGAATGCAAGAAATGTAAATTTTGTTAAATGCTATTCACACCCTTCCCCAGTTTTTTAAACAGGAGTAGAGGTTTATCCCTTGTTTCTTGTTTAGGATTGGATCTACTTCAACTCTGTACTCGTAAAATCTTCATCCGGACTTTGAAATTTTATTCACTAATTATTTATTTTATTTTATCTTCCTCAGGGTTTTTGAATGAGAGTAGAGGTCTATCCCTTGTTTCTTGTTTAGGATTGAGTTCCCAGTTCCTTCTAAGGTCTACTTCAACTCTATACTTTTTATGTCTCCACCTGAACTCTTATTTCCCTAATTATTTTTTTTCTTCTCCCAATAATAGTAAGTAGGTTCACATATCATACAGTCCTCACAAATCCCTGGTCTTTTAAACAGGAGTAGAGGTTTATCCCTTGTTTCCTCTTTAAGATTGGGTTTCCAGTTCCTTCTAAAATCTACTTCTACACTATACTTCTAACATCTCTGACTGAAATCTGAAATGTTATTCACTAAAGTCTATAGTTAGCCATTATCTTTCCTGCATGACTCCAAGAACTTCAATTCTTGCGCTTTCTTACACTCGTACAACACCACACAGTGACCCTCTACTTTGATTGCCTCCTGGGCCTTGTATTGGGTGAACATTAGTAAAAATCACTGGAAGAAAAACAAAGATAAGAACTTAAAGCAACAGTGATTGGATATTTTCCTCACAAATCAACAATCACCACATCAACAGATTTTATTTACATGATCTTTTACATGATATTTTTTGATAAATTCCATCAGGATACTAGAGATTCTTGATAAAATGGAAAGGAGAATCTGTAATGTTATTGGTCCTGACCTGGCATCTCAGCTTCAGTCATTTTCCAACATTATAATGTAGCTTCCCTGTACCTTTTCTGTAAATATTTTCATGGTAATTGTTCTGATGAGATGATGATTCTCTTTGGTCTCAACATTTTACAATTGAATTGGGTAGATGTAACCATAAGTTCTATGCTAACAGTTTCTTTTCTCACACTTCTCACTTGTGGAACTCTCTTCTGGCCTCTTGCTTTCCAATCAACTTTGATCTTCAAAAATTCAAATGCAATGCCAATCATTATCTACTGTCTTCTACTCAGTAAACCTTTATGTCTTAGTGGCTTTACTTACTTTCATAGGGTAAATTTGATAAAAAAGGAAAAGTTGCTGACCCCATGCCCCATTGCCCCAGTGGTTTGGGATTTAGAGTTGACCTTCTGTAGTTTTGTGCCAGAATAGAATTTGCCTTTGATCTCACACCAGATATCAAGGGAGCCAGGTGCAGGGTTAACCTGAGCTGATTTAGTTGCCCAATGTAGAATCATATGACCTCACAGCTGCATCTTGTTTAGCAAGAATGAAAGATATATGAACAACCATCCCAGAGAAGAGTTAGGCACTCTCTCAGACATCACAGACAAGAATGTCAGGTTCATACTTCAGGCAAGGATGCAGGGCTATGCTACCAAACATTGACCAAGAGTAATTGACAAAGTATTGGAGTAAAATAAAATGTTATGTTAAATAATGAAATATTCAAGTCTTGTGTTATTCATTAGCCTGCACCATTGTTTGATTATAGTTATCCCAGATTAGCTGCCAACCAATGCTATAGAGATTCCATTCTGCGTTATTATTAACCCCCAGCTGGAGGAAGAAGATATAGACTCATGTATTTCCAAGAGTATTTGTGTGAAAAAAAAAAATGAAACAGTTTTGGCTGAAATTTGAACTCAGAATGCTAATCTCACTTTCTGAGCCAATTACTACTACACTACTGCTAGATCACAACCAATCTTCATAAATTGTGAATTAAAATTATCTTCAGAATAAAAGACGGAAGAATGAATGAAGAATCAAAGAGGATTCTTTTTTTACCTGGTTCCATCTCGGGTTATTATGTGGATCTTTGCAACAAACCACTGCTTGTACTGGTCCTACAAAGAGAGAAGAATATTCTGTAGTTTTGCAGAAATCAGTAACACAATCATCAAATACTTTTGGCTTCAGTTATGTTCTCTCTAATTATTAATATTTTTTTCATTAATTTAAGATTTGAAAAATCAATCAACAAATCTGAGAAATATGTGCCATTTATGGTGATGGTGCCATAGCTGATATTAATATTCAGAAGTGGTTTGCTAGTTTTAGAAGTGGTAATTTTAATCTGAAAAACTGAGAATGTTCTGCCAGGCCTACAATTAGTGATGATAACCAAATTAAAATGCTAACAAAAAATAATCCAGGTCACATGAAATGGAATATTGTAGAGATACTCCACATGTAAGTGTCATAAGGTATCTGAAAACATTGTGGTACAAGAATCAGGAGGTTTGGATGGGTTATGATTTAAAGGAAAAAATTTGATAGGTCACATTTTTATCTGCAATTCTCTATTCAAATAATAAAAAAAATGACCCATTTTTGAAAAGAACACTCACAAACAATGAAAACTGGATTGTTTAAAAAAGGTCCTAGGAAAAATGAAATGAGCCACTGCTAACCAGTCAAAAAGCTATTCTGTATCAGAAGAAGGTGATGCTGTGCATTTGGTGGGATTGGAAGAGCACTATGTATTAAAAGCTTCTTTCACAAAATCAGAAAGTGTTGAATTCTGTTCTCAATTTGACTGATTAAAAGGTAGCAACCAATGAAAAGCATCCAGAATTGACCAAGTGGAAGGGTGTTGTTTTCCATCAGAACAACACCAGGCATTGTCAAATTGGCTCAAATGATTCAGCTGTGCTGGGTGTCCTACTACACCCACTATTCTTACCTGACTGACCTTGCACCTTCAGATGACCACAAAATCCTCTTAATGAAAGGAACTTCAGTTCTCTGAAAACCTGTATGAACCACTTAGACCAGTTTATTACCCAGGAAATGGCCAAGTCCTGGAACGGTGGAATGATGGGAAGTAACTGCATTAAAATGATTGATTGGGCATTTGTTATCATGGTGGGTTGGAAATCCAAGATAAATACCTACCCTGAGTAACACTTTTTCAGCTTCTGCAAGTGAGCACTGTTCATGGGTGAAATATAACATGAACCGAGGGATCCAGTAGAAGACAAGACGAAGGAAACCCAGAGAGAAAATGATGAGTATCCAAGTAATGATGTAATTCCTCTTGTTTAATTTGTAGCCAGAAATTTCCTGCAAGAATAAAGTTTTATTTTAAATTTAATAACAATCTGTTAAAACGAAAAAGAAAAAAGGTTTATGAAGTACACTTTAAGTGTCAAGTGTTTTGAGAGTCTAATGTTGAAGGTTACATATAATTTGCTCTTCATATAAAAGGTTACATATAATTTGCTCTTCATATAAAATATGTTTACTTAATTTAATAAGATGAAATCAATAACCTTAAAACACTGTTGATATTACAAGGATCAGAAGTAACTAGAAAGAATAATATTATTATTACCATTATTATTATTATTTTCTCCCACTAAAGTAATGAAACAAAGTTAGCCTAAAATTACTTCCTTTACCACTGAGCAAAATTTGAAAGTACCACTTAACCTGTCAAGTTTCTAAAAGTCCTGATGTCAAGAATGTAAACCATTTCTACTATTTTCAGTTAAAAGAAATATTTTGTCTGAATTTTTTAGATAATTATTGTATATATTATTTATGTTCTGATTAAGATCCTCATCTTGGTTATTATTATCACAACATTTCTGCCATTGTATCCTCTAGCTTTCTTCAGGTGGCTGTAAGCTGTCTTTTTAATATTTCTTTCTCTATTATATACTAATTCATTCAAATTAGTATCCAATGGGTCATGTGTTCATTGGACACAATTCATATCAGACAAAAGTTTAGTTGTGAATTTATTGGAATTAAATCCTATATATAATTTTTTTTTCAACCAATATAATTCCATCAGACGGTTTGTTGGATAAACAATAATTATTAGGGCAAATACTGCCAAGTACTTGGTGAACGTAGTTGTAGACCTACCCATGTGTTATTTTTGGACCATTTAAAAAATTAAAATAACTGCCTTCGTTACTCTAGTAAATTTGAGAAAAATATTTTTGTGAGTGTGAAACTATATTTTCTAACTAATGAAAACCTTGTATTCAAAAAGTTCACACCTGTATGTGAAATTAGATTTTGGATCTACCTTACAGATATAAAAATAGGAGCATATTGCTTCTTGGGGTTCAAAACAATTTCAGAGGGCAGTTTGATCTACACATGCATACACATACACCTCACACAATGAAAGAGATGGACCAGCAGCTGCCAACTAAGGCATTGTTCACACACTGACAGAAACATTAGGCTAACCATCATAAAATAAGTCAGTCCACACATCTAAGGCCGCACTATGAACACTTAATTAAAAACAAACAAAACTTCACTACAAGAAAAATTGAACATTTTATTGTTATTGTATATTTCTGAAAAGAATATATAAATGTTATTTCAACTAACATTCTGCTTCTACTTTTCCCCTAAGAGTTTAACTTTTTATAGGTTTCATTTAAAAGATGTGGTGGTGGTGGTTGTATTGTTGTTAAATATTTGGAATCCCAACACTCAGATAGCAACAAAAACCTGGGTACATTGATCCCAGCAAGTTTAATCTTTGAGTAGGGTAGGGGGGGGTGAGTCATATAATGTTGAAGAGATTAATTAACTAGAAAAGAATTAACTGATTTTAGAATTCTCTTGGCACTGACAGTGGTATGAAAACAATTTACCTCCAGTAGTTGGTTAATGGTTTCAGTTCAAAATTCCCAGCTATGACAAATTAGATACCCAAAGAAGGTTGGAATGGATAAAATGTTGGGAAAGCTAAGGGCATTAGTGGATAATAACACTCATCAGATTATATATATATATATATGTGTGTGTGTGTGTGTGTGTGTGCGTGTGTGTGTGTGTGTGTGTGTGTGTGTGTGTGTGTGTGTGTGTGTGTGTGTGTGTGTGTGTGTGTGTGTGTGTGTGTGTGTGTGTGTGTGTGTGTGTGTGTGTGTGTGTGTGTGTGTGTGTGTGTGTGTGTGTGTGTGTGTGTGTGTGTGTGTGTGTGTGTGTGTGTGTGTGTGTGTGTGTGTGTGTGTGTGTGTGTGTGTGTGTGTGTGTGTGTGTGTGTGTGTGTGTGTGTGTGTGTGTATCTGGGCAGAAATCTCTCTTTTATAGAAGTTTCATTAAAAATGACTGACAAGATACTGCAGTTAAGATTTTATTTAATTTTTCTTCTTCTTATAATTTTCTTCTTTTCTGCACATAAATTATGTAGAAATTGTCCAAATGCTCTGTATGTCCAAGTGCTTTCACATAAATGTATAGTCAAAAGTGCTCAGACATACAAAAAACATTCAGACAATTTTTACATAATTTATGTGCAGAAAAGAAGAAAATTATAAGAAGAATTAAATAAAAAATTTAACCACACTATCTTGTCAGTAGATTTTAATGAAACTTGTATATACAAACATGTATACACCCCCATGTATTTAATTAGTTGTAATTAAAATAAAAGTACTAGTCAAAGTAAATTAGTGTTTAAGAAATTATAAATAATTTTTTACTAAATCATGGAAACAAAATAAAACAAAGAATCCTTGAAAGGTCATCCATGAAAAAAATTGTTTTCTATACAAAATTAAATTTAAAAATGCAAAGAAACAATTATAAAGCTAATTATAGCTGCCTAGTAAATGCCAGAATTGAGTACAATTATCTTGTCATGTTTTCTAGATGACTACTAAAAAAGCTTGCAAAGAATCTAAAAATAAGATCACCTTGCAAGTTTCACTGATAATATAAAGCAGAAAATAGTTGATCAAAGCTTTTATCCAAAGAGTCAGTTTTGTGGGTCTTATTACTATATAACTACTTAAAGAGAGGAATTTTTATTTCTTTCAAAACCTGAGTTTGAGAGACAAAAAAGAAATGAAGAGAAAAACAAAAAAAGAAAAATTCTGCATCTGGTGAGTAAGTCTGTTTTAGCAAAGGTACATATTAATCACATCCCACAATCTAAATTTTCTACTAGGTGACTACACAGTCAAAAATCATTGCAGATGCATCCTTTGCAAGGTTGATTTTCACACACATTAAAACTACTGAATTAATTACAGTTTATTCATTAATTTGATGTAATTCTTCATTCAGTATTAATTTCTATTTTGTGCATGCATCTCTTGATAGGTGATTAAAAACAATTATAGTAAGCCTAAACAGAATTGACAATTTTATGTGGCTATTCTTATTAAGTATAAGCTTCAACATTAAGAGAATCAAACAATTCTCTCCCTTTCACACACAACTAAACATATATATATATTATATATACATACATAACTAAACACACACATATATATACACAATTATATATATATATATATATATATATATATATATATATATATATCACACACACACACAACTAAACGTGTGCGTGTGTACATTTTTAGTTATAACTATACATAGACAGATATAGGGTGCGATGGATAAATTGCCGTCTAAATTGCCCCAAAATAAAAATAACACTGATATTTCACTTTAACAGATATAATATTTACCATAATTACATAATAATATCTTGAAATACTAAAGAGTAAATTTACTCAATAAACTCGCCATTGTCTTCAACCACAGCATCCAGATGACTTTGGAATCTCCTGCAACTCTTCTAGACACTCTCCTTATTTAAGTTGGTGAATGTTGTCATAATCCTTGCCTTCAGTTTATCTTTGGTGTTACAAGGAGTTTTTTTGGTCACTGGCTCAACTGTGCCCCACACATAATAATCCAGGGGGTTGCAGTCTGGGAAGTTAAGTGGCCAGATGTAAGGTGTGATGTGGTTGCAGAAATTGTCTGACAGCCATGGCTGGATTCTTCTGATTGTGTGGCATGGTGCAGAGTTCTGTTGCCTGACATAGGGTCGTTTAGCAGCCACCCCACTGACTTAGGGATGCACTACCTCCTTAAGGCACTTGATGTAGATCTCTGTATAAGCAGTATAGCAAGCCATTTCCAAATTTCTGATGGAATGAATTACATCATGTTGTTTTTTCTCATAGAAGGTGCCCAACTGACCCAACTATACTGTGCATTGACAAAATCAAAAACAATGTGCTTATGCAAAATTAAAATATAAAATGGCGACAATTTACCCATTGCATCCTGCATATACCTAAACAGCCATATATATATATATATATATATATATATATATACCTAAAGACACACACACACCTATACCTGAACATAAAAATACATATCATTCTCCATAATTAACTAAGACTTTTCACTTAGTTTGACGCATTTCTTAAAATTAAAAATTTTGTAAAACTAATGACATTTTTACTTTTGTTTATAAATACCTATTACAAAAATTTCTGCCATTTGAGTAAAAGTCAGAAGATAAAGGAACATTGTTTTAATTGCTTTTTTTTTTTTCTTTGAAGTCAACTTTTATGCAGATGTGCCAGACTCAGGTTTCATTTGCAAAAAATAACAGCAGTAATGGAAGCATCATTTCTCACAAACAGCAGAACACCCTGCTTCTCAAGACTCATGCTAAAAGACATTGATAATTCTACTGCTACCATTAGTTTTTTTTTTAGTCTCACACACACACACACACACACACACACTCACATGCAAAATGAACTGACTAGAATTGGTCAATGTTGCCAATGAGTAATTTACTAATATTATTTAGGTATGTAAGGTAAATATGAGAGAGCAATTTGCTTAAATTTCCACCATCTTTTTATTGTTATCAGTGCCAAAGACAAGATATCTGACAAGTGGACAGTGTGCAGAGAGAAGTTGTTTCATGTCTGCTTCAGGGTTTTAGTAAAAAGTAAAAACAGCCTCAACCAGATTCAATTTGCCCCTTCTGTTTTCTGTAGAAAGAAGTTATATATAGTGAAGGGATTCAAAGGGTTTACATGGCTTCTCATAAACCTTCTGTCATTCGTTATTTAACTCTATTACGTATCCCCTTTTTCTATATTGCTCCCCCTCTTCCCATGACTGGCACCACATAGTTTTTAGCAACTTTGGTTCTCATGATTACT